TGTAAAACAGTCGAGTCTGCTGAACGCGACCATTGATATCCGTTTACAGCTTTATGATATATCGTGCATACCTGTTGATCTTGACCGACGGAATGAAGTGCATTACTCCTGAAATTTCGTGGCATAATCGCGACCCAGTCCTGAGTGTTGATATACAGAGCGGTTTGTACGAAAATCTGAAAGGAGAAACGTTTTGGAGAGTGGCTACTGGAGGAGCGGACTGTCATGTTTTGGTAACGTAATTAAATTAGAAATTGTAAAAAAACTCAAAAATATTATTAAGCACCAAGATTTATTTTGACCGAATAGGCATTCACTTCTTTGCTTATTTGTGTTATTTACATCTATTGGCCGATTTTCCATTTATTATTATAATTACCATATATTAGGTATTTACTTCGAATGAAGCTAAAGAGAACAATAGCAGTTTTTTTATTTTTCTTTATATATGTATGTGTGGTAATAAAGAAGATATTTCAGGAAAACTATACAAATGTATAACTTTTATAAAAAATTGTTATATTTATAAATATAGTAATAGAGAGAGTAGTAGTGTATTATTTTTAATTTATCAATATTAGTCTAAATAACATATATGATATTTATAATATTAATTGAACACAATGCTAAAATTTGTACATGATTCTATTAATGTCGTCAGATGTCTAAGAAGTTAAGATTTATTTAACGTCTTGATCTAATTATGATTACACATTCAAGGATTTAGCAATCTAAATGAATTGTTTGTTTGCAGATTTGGCATTTAACAACAACCAAATATGGTGGAGCTACTGTGAGCTTTGCAGCAGACTTGGATCGTCATCAGAGAGCAGTAAATATTGTGAGATTTTCTTCGTCAAGGGAAGTTCTAGCATCAGGAGATGATGGTTCGGTCACTTGATGTTATTTTACTGTTTATTGTTACCATTTTGCTAAGCAAAAAAGAGTTGCCTAGACTACAATTGATTTTAATACACAGAATCGATTATTATTTTGTGGAAAGTCAAGGAAGGACGAGACTTTTCTCCACCTTCAGGTGAAACTGAAAATAAAGAACAGTGGACTTCCTGGAAAGTACTGAAAGGTCACATCGAAGACATTTATGATATTAGTTGGTCGCCGGACTCCAATTTTCTAATCTCTGGATCTGTTGATAATACCGCTATATTATGGGATATCCAGAAAGGTCGTAAAACTGCGATATTACAGGATCACAAAGGTTTTGTCCAAGGAGTATCTTGGGATCCCTGCAATCAATATGTATGCACTATCAGCACAGATAGGTATGTAATCCATAATTGAACAACCTGTTGGCAAAAATCGTTACCTTCATTTGAAATTTTTCGACGAGAACAAAAAAGCTTGTATAATTTTTCTCATTCAGGCTATCAACAAGAGTTTGAAAAAGTAAGACAATTTCTATTTATATTAATACAATTTCTATTTATTAAAATAGAATGACTGATTTTGCAGCTGTAGAAAGAGCTTTATTTGATTTTGTAATAAATCTGCTATTTTTATTAAACACAATTGATGGATATAACTATATTTGCAATAGCAGAAATTTGAGGATTTGACTTCTTTTATAATTAGACTCACCTTCTCTAATTTTGTAGGATTTATAACTGTTTTGCACATTTTTTAATCGTTCAATTCGTAACCAAAAAGCTAAGGAAGGTTTTGCAATATTTCGTTTTCTTTTTTTTAATTTTTGATATAGTTGCTCTCACATATTGGCTATTCAGTTATAAATTACGCAAACGATAAAACATCTGCTAAATTTTAATTGTGAATCAAATTAATTATTTTCAGATACTGTCGTTTAATAAGCATTGCCACAAAGAAAGTTGTTCAACGTGTTTATAAGTCTAAAATTCCGACACCATCCGGTAGCTCATTGCAGGGGAAGCTCGTACGTCTATTTTACGACGACACCTTCAAATCTTTCTTCCGCAGACTGACCTTCTCGATAGACGGATCCCTAATTTTCGTTCCGTCTGGAATAATCGAGTTGCAGGAGACCACAGAGACTATATCAAATGCAGTAATTGTTTTCTCTAGAGAAGATATAAGGGAGTCAGTATTAAATCTCTAATAATTCCAAATCCCTAACTTGACTTAAAAAACAATCATAATAATAAAATCGATTTTTTTTTAGACCAATAATGATCTTACCTACTTTAAATGAATGTACTATAGCAGTACGATGTTGCCCTATCTATTTTGAATTGCGACAGAATAGTCCAGCTGCTTTGGTACCGTTACCTTACAGAATGATATTCGCTGTTGCGACGCAGAGTTCTGTATTACTCTACGATACGCAGCAGACTTCTCCGATCGGTGTGGTGTCGCTCATTCATTATGGTAGACTAAATGATCTTTCGTGGTACGTGATTGTCAATATGGTATATTTGTTATTTGAATTATTTTCGAGTATTAGCGTCTTTTTTTATAGGTCTAGCGATGGCCAAATTTTAATCACGTCTTCGAGCGATGGTTACTGTTCCATAATATACTTTGAAGAAGGTGAACTAGGAGAAATTTATAAGATGAAAGAAAATTCTGTACAAGAAAGTACAATAATAAAGGAAACATCCAAAAATTCTAGTAAAAAATCTTCGTACAATACAATCAAAGACAAAAACAATGTTTCAACATTCAATGTGGATGATTGTGCGATGGACGTTGAACTTGTAGAAAGTAACACAACCAACGCTATAACAAATAATCGATCTGAAGAACTTGATGGACAGAAACCGGACGAAATTATTAGTAGTAAAAATATTATATCAGAAAATAATTTACAGATAGACAAGAAATTGAATGAAGAAGAAACAGAAGATATCAAATTGGTGTATAATGAAGAAAATAGTAGCGATGTGACCAAGGTCAAAACCAGAAATACTCCGCCAAAGTCTGATGCTCCTATTATATGTCACAAAACTCCTAGAAGGGTAAAATTAATAACTTTGTCGAGTCCAAAAGGACACAAGAAACAATAGCTTGTAAAAAATAGACTTCTAAGATTTGCTATGTAACTTTTAACTATATAATTATTTTTATAATATATAGGGTAAATGTATAGAAAAAAAGAGGCGCCAGTTCCATATGTTGTCAAGGTCATGACCCTGAGTGATCTCCAACAGGTCTCCAACAGGTTTTAGGCGTCGGTTGTTGTTCATTAAAAAGTTATTAACAAAAAAAGTTTGAAAATTGACGTCTCTTTTCTACTATATGAAACAGAAAAATTCTCTGCTTTAAAATATATTTTACTTTCCACGCGAAGCGAGGTCCACCCCATCTCCTCCCCTTGCCAAAGTCGCATATTGGAGGTTGTACCTCTTATTTTCATTTTTACGTAAAAATGAATTTTTAATGCAAAAATGAAAATAAGAGGAATAATCTCCAATGGCCTTGATCTTGACAAATGTTATCCAGGACATGATTCTGAACAACATTCAAGAGGTTTTAACCATCGGTCGGACACCTTGTGTAATGCTAATGCCGACTGTATTGTAACTTTCAAACCTTATAACTCGAAAAATACTTAATGAAAAAATATTTTATTACAGTGTTTTGAAAAGGTAAGCTACAAGAAAATGTAATAAAAAATGGAGGGGTTCCATTTAAAAAATTCAAAGTAGCCTTGCTCTCACTTTGACAACGCTACCCAAAGTCAAACAAATGGTACCATCCTATGCTCCCCTCAAAGTCATAAAACTTTTGTCTGAACATATTAGTCATTTGACACACACTTTCAGAGA